GCTCTATGCCAATCAAGTTGATCTGCAAAAAAGGAGGAAGAGTTATGAATAAGAAAGATAGAAGGAAATCTAATTAATCTTGTACCTTCAAGGAAGAATGAACTATATCATTCATTAAAGTTAGTGAGCTATGGCTTTCTAACTTCTTCTTCTCTACGAGGCCTAGCAAAGGTTTCAACCACACGTCGGCTTGAGCAGATTTTCTTAATAAGTTCCCACCTTCAGGAACCTCAACAACAACTCTTTTCATTGCCCTTGTGCTGCTAGATGGTTCGGCCTCTGCATGAGAAGCAGTCACGGGAATAGCTGACGGAGCAGAAGCAGCCACGAGAATAACAGCATGAGTGACGTCAGGTAAAGACACTAGAGGGTTAATGGAAACTGAAACTGGAAGGGAAGCAAGAGGTAATTCTTCGAAAATATGCCCAAAAGCTTCATCACCCTCGAAGCCATGAACAAACAATCTATCAACAGAAGCTAGGGGAAGATCAGCAGTATCTTCACCAGAAATCACTAAAAGGGCACTCTCTGTCTTATCAGTGAGTCTAAAAAGGATTGAACTTGATAAAGGGTCATGAGAAGGAGTAGTTTCATCATCAGAAACCACATGTCTTCTGATGCGTGGCCTTCGCACCAAAGAACCCTCCTCTGTTTCTTTTTCGTCATCAGAGCCACGGGCACCGTCAGTTTTTCTTTTTGAAGAAGAAGCACTTAAAATTCTTTCCCGGGCAAGGCTCACAGAAAGCCTGGTTGATGGAACAGACACGGGACTAATGCCACAAATAGGAAACCCTAATAAAAAAAGGGAAGGATGGGAAATTCTTGGGCAAACAAAGAAGAGAAAAGGAAAAATAGTGAAGGTAAAAATTACCGCGTGTCTTCACTTTCCAACCGAACTTTTGAGAAAGGTACTTCCAGGACCTTTTCTCCATGGGCGCAGCCATTAACATCTTTTCTACCCAAGCACGGAAGTTGGGGAATTTCATCAAAAACTTCCATGGTTGCTGAAAAATTGGGTATATGATTACATGAAATCCTTTGAGATTTTAAAGAAATAAATAAGAAAGCTTACGTGCAAAGTTCCATTTCTTCGAGAAAGGCATATTTTCTTCACCCACTAATCCACTAGTGGGAGCAGCAACAAACGAGCGTACCAGCCATAGTCCCGATCATCTTCAGGGCTAACCAATACTCTCTTACTTCTAGCCACGAGAGTAAAAGCACCTTCACGAAACAGTTTGGGAGAGTACAGATGAAGCAAGTGCCGAAAAGTAAAAGGCATGGAAACCAGATCTGCTAAATAACGAAGGCATGCAACAACCCTCCATACTATGGGGCCAATCTGGCCAAGACACACGTTGAAGTAACGGCAGAATTCAATGATCACCGGATCAATATGAGGTGTGAACCCTAAAGTGAAGGGGTATAAACAAAAGAAAAATCAGCATGATAGAAAGTAATTCTCTGGTCAGCACCAGGGACTAAAACTGGGGAATCTTGTTTCCAATAACACTCTCTTCGAACCAGGGAAAAAACCCCAGTAGTGATTAAACTCAGGTAAAGGTTAGTAGGATTGAAGGAGGCCATAGAAGAAACTTGATTTCTTATGGTTTCACGATCAGTTATAAAAGAAAATTCTTGAGGAACAATCTCTGCAACTGCGGGTTCACGCACAGGATCATTTAAATCTCTATTCCTAAAAGAAGATCTAGGAGTTAAAGAAGCCCTAGGCCTAGAAAAAGATGGATTAGCATCACTACTCGGGAAGAAGAATCGCGGTTAGATATTGAACCAAGACTACGAAGCCTATCACCCCTCCTACTTCTAGTAGGATCATTAAAAGGAACAAGTTCATCAATAATCACAACCTTGTGAGGGTCTGGTGAAGACATGATTGTCCAAAGGAATACAGAAGGAAGGATGCATAAAATGCAAAGAAGAAATAAGATGATGGGTACTGAAAAAGAAAGACTCTAAGAAATAAAAAAAATAAAGTATTTATAAGAAGGCACGACCATTGTTAAAGTTGGTCATTATGAATCTTTTCATAATGGAACCGTCACTTCGCAACTGACACAGCCACAGAAAAACCCTAAAAAGCGGTGAAAAACTACAGAGCCAATCATTGGAAGCACGTGACATGGGCATTAAATAGATGTGATGTACGTCGCATCGATTCTGAAAGAGACATGATGACACTCGAAAAATGGCGGCAAAGAATTCCCGCCATAAAAGCTTACCACTTCCCGAATATTCAGTTGAGAATATTCAGAAAGTGGGGGGACTATCTGTATTGGTGGAAAAAAGGCATTACACGTGGAATGTTGGAATGCTGACGAAGAATGACGTGTGAAGCAACGATATAGTGACAAGTGGCATTCTCAATTAATAGAATTAAGAATACAAGGAAGGCACGGGAGAAACACCCACGAGACAATACAGAGAAGAGGATCGGGCCTGACAGTTGTCAAAGAAGACTCGAGGACGGAATGGATAAAGATCAAAAAGAAAGGAAGATACACGAACCAGAAGTAAATAAGGAAGGGGAATCAGAGCAGTTATAAGAAATTTATAGCTATAAATATGCCAGATATGATTATTCATGGTAATGGGCAATCAATACAATTAATACCCATAATGAATTCAAATTAAGTGAGAAAACCGTTATGATTGTACACTCCTATATAAAGATACAAAATTTTATTTGTAAGGGGGCCCAAGGACTACAGAAATACATTCTATAATTCTCTGCTTAATCAAAGTTTTCAACCTTGATTTTAGGGATTGACTATCGTTTCATTCCTTATTTCTTTTTGTTAATCTTCGTTATAAGTTTTGCTATTTTCCAAATAGATCGCTGTGGAAGTGAAGTAAAACTTGGTTATCAGTAACCCGTTTTCTTTTAAATACAGGCTTTGACTAAAAATTTTATTTTTTGGTTAAACACTTTGTTTCTTTCTTACCTCTTAATTCAAATCAAGTCAAATCCAGAAAAATTCTATTAGAAATTTATCTTTCTTCACACAAAATTGAACCCATTTTGCTTTATCTACACTCAAGTTTTACCCACGACCACCGGTTGTATCTAAAAAAAAACAACCATTAACTAATGTGTATACTATTGCGGAGTGCGTTGATGACATATTAGGTTGTCAAGTAAATGAAATTTGTATACAAGTCATTTCTTATTGAAAAGGGAACTAGTTTGAACAAGTTTTGGTTTTGGCTGTCTAGTTTTAATGTCCTTCAAGTATTATTCTTCGGCAAGTGAAGGGGCTCAACCAAATTGGTGGCCTCAAGTAAAATTTATTAAAAAGTCTTAAGCTTTTTTGAAGCAAAAAATAAATAAAAAATGATTGTCACATATGTACTTATATTTAAAGTAAATTTTCTAATTTTAGGATGTAAAGTTGTTAATAAGTTTTAACAATCGATTCTCTTTTTATATTTTTTTTTCAGTTGACAATTTATCCAATTCATCTAATTTTACTTAAGGCATTGATTATATCGCTCCTTTTTTGAGATTGTATTGAAGTTCAGTTTTTCACTTCTCATTTTTTGTGTCTTTTGAGTAACCTGATTTATAATTTTTAGTTGACACGTTTGAATTCTAATATTCGATAAAAAGTAATATACACCTATAAGTAAAATTTACCAGAGGTAAATTTAATTATAAGATAATAGAAAGTTAAAATAATATAACCTGATTCTAGAAGTTGATAACTTGATATCACTACAAGATTTCACAGCTTCAGTTCGCTTATTGTAGTGCTTGAAAGATAAAGAAAAGAAATGCACAATTTAATTTATTCAATGCTCTTGCCCTTATTTTTTAGAGAATATATAACTTAAGGGAATGAAAAAAGGAAAGTACTCGGTACAAGTTTTATTGCTTATGAAAAAGGAGAAAAAAAAGAATATTGACATTAGAATGAAAATTTTCAATTATCACCATCAATCACATGGCTAGATGATTTTCTTTCATTTTTTAATAAAAATCTTATATTGTACTTTTTTATCATACAAGAGTCAATAAAAAGGGAGAACTTTACACCTCTATGAGTAGAGTAATAGGAACTCCATCAATTAGATGACAATTCTCAGAAGTTTTACCAACTTTCTCAAATCAGAGGGAAAAAAAAACATATCTGCCCTTTAACAACTTAAATTAACATTTTGAACGCCTTTTTATACAAAATCCATTTGATAATAAAACATTTTTTCCAACTGTATGATACTAGTAATCTTTGTAGGCCTTTATGGATAAAGCACAACTCCTTTGACTTTGTTTATCATTTGGTCCACTTAATCATGGAGGCAAATTAATAGTTTAAACAAAAAGATTAGGAAGCACGTCTTTAATCAAATGACAACGTTGTCGTCCGACTGGAAACCTACCAATGCACAAAATTGACTTTGAAGCGTATAAGAAAATGATGTAAACAAAATAAATCATACCATCAGAGTTGGAAAAAAATAATACTCCATTACAAGCAACCTTGTGTCCCCTCTTCATTTCCAAGAATTTCGACAAATGAGGTTGATTTGGTCCTTTGCTATTACCATTTTCTATCCAATTAAAAAAGGACTTTGCCCGTATCAGAAACTATTTACATTCGATAGCCGAAAAAAAATATATAAAATTTGAATAATTTTTGTATATAACATACATAATGTATTATATATATAAAAAGATATATTTTGAGAGCGTTTATACAATGTCATTTTCCCAACTAAAAAAACCAATCCTATTCTTAGGAACATTGAGCTTGTCTTGGGGGCTTGATAGGGCGTCAACGCCAAGACTAGTGAAGAAGCCTTTCGCTGTCCGATTAGAGAAACATGTAACCTAAGGGAGAAACTCATCGGTTAAATGGGCCCGAGTCCAGGTTCGTAGCCAATATATATAGATTACTCATTAATTATACGACTTGTAAAATGAACGACTATTTAAGCTAATTCTTCGTGTTATATTTTCTACTAGAAAGGGGACACAAGGCTAATTTCAGGCTATGGATCGAATTCATGCAAGCCCAATTTCACGTTATGGGTCGAGTCCATTGAGGCCCAACCATATAAGCTTCTGGTTTATGAATAACTGGTCTTCAAAAGTACCAATATACAACCACAAGAGTTTTATAAACTGCAAACTCTAAAATGACTATAAACCAAGCCGAAAAGAATAGAAGAGATTTGTGGATTAGGCAAAACTTAATATGCCAAGAAATTGCCAGGGTACATCTGCAGCACCAACTATAATAAAGCTTCTGCCAACGGTCAGCGTAATGAAGCATGCTCTCACTCTCTAAAGCAGAACTCAGTAGGCCAAGAAACCATCTTCATTCAGCGATCATCTTGTTAACTACTCCCAAGTGCATCGCATTCATGAATATCGGCCTCCTGACTTTTATCCCTTGTTAGGAGTAAGGGAATCAACATCATGTCTTCCCAAGTTCTCTCAGAAAGAAGTAATAATATAACCATAACTTCTCCAGTCAGTATCCTCACTCCAGTTCTGTAGTGCTCAGTAGAAGCCAATCCATTCTGAGATAAATCAACAACTCAAGCAGTCCCAACTTTTTTGCATGTGGGAGGGCAAATGAGCAACCAGCTTGATACTTTCAACATCTATGAGGTCAGCACCTGAAACTACTCGAGCTTGTTGCAAAGCCAGAGAAATATTGGGCAAAACCATCTCCTTACAGTGAAGATGAAGATGAGGCTGCTTGTCTGAAATACTTCCATTCCCTAAACAAAGGCTGAAAGGATCTGCTTCTTGCTCGGGAATACGTGCACCTAGGTTCACAGTTGAAATGGACGAAGACAGATGTTTCAACTTTCTATGAGCTTGCCAACCATACTTGTAATCTCCTACTATTGGCGTCCCCAATACCTCAGCACAATGAACGCGTAACTTCAATACAAAGATAGTGAAATAATCAGTTTCACATTTACTAGCTAAACAGCAAAAGTTGAAGCTAGCATCATAGAAAAGCAGTTCTGGGTACCTGGTGCTTTCTGCCGGTAAGTGGAGATAACTCTAGCCATGTGTAACCTGCAGTTTCACCAACAGACAATATATCCATAAACAAAGATGTTTGAGAAGATATGAGAATATATTTATTAAAACTGAAGGAAGAACTTTCTGTCCACCAAAACAGGCAACCAATTCTGTAGAATTGATCCTGTACCAATCAAAATAATGCAAACCAGTAACTATCTTTTAGCATTGGCACAACTATTGTTTAAGCAACAGAAAAACGAAGAATGATCGGGACAGTATGTGCCTCCGTACATTGTGCAATAAGAAATCTATCCCCCAACAAGTATGCTTATGGAGACCCTTAACCATTTCCCAATACAGAATATTCATGCAGCTTGAACAAGCAGTGCAAAAATCGCATAGGGCCCTAAAATTTTCAACTATCCAACCTATATGTGTTGCCTCCATACTGAATTACTCAAATTGAATGTCAATGCTTCTTCCTTGAAATGATTTACAAAGAGAAGTTTCTCTCCTATAGATTACTTTACAGGTCTAGGTCATGGGACTTGCACATTACACATGAATCATTTTAGATCTTCAATAATTGACGACAAAAGAAATAAGAAGTTGAATTCCATTTAAAACCCTTGTGCTTTAAATAATTGTGCCATCCTC